AGTGTTCAGAGCTTCAGATCTCCTGGACGTTTTGTTAAAATGCAGATTCTGATTTAATACGAATAAGGAGGAGCTCAAAATCCTGCTTTATTTTTTTTCTGCGATGGAGTCTCGCTCTGTCGCCCAGGCTGCTGGAATGCAGTGGCATGATCTTGGCTCACTGCAACCTCCACCTCCTGGGTTCAGGCAATTCTTCTGCTTCAACCTCTTGAGTAGCTGGGATTACAGGCATGCACCACCACACCCAGCTAATTTCGTATTTTTAGTAGAGGTGGGATTTTACCATATTGGCCAGGCTGGTCTCGAACTCCTGACCTCGTGATCCACTTGCCTTGGCCTCCCAAAGTGCTGGGAACCACCACCCAGGCCCTCTTTTTCTTTTTCTATTTTTTTCTGTTGAGATGGAATTTCGCTCTTGTCACCTAGGCTGGAGTGCAGTGGCGTGATCTTGGCTCACTGCAACTTTTGCCTCCTAGGTTCAGGGGATTCTCCTGCCTCAGCCTCCCGAGTAGCTGGATCTACAGGCGTGCACCACTAAGCCCAGCTAATTTTTGTACTTTTAGTAGAGACTGAGTTTCACCACATTGGCCAGGCTGGTCTTGAACTCCTGACCTCAGGTGATCTACCCACCTCGGCCTCCCAAATTGCTGGGATTACAGGCGTGAGCTTCTGTGCCCAGCCTCATTCATGGATCTGAAGGGTCAGATTTCCAGGGATCTGGCAACACACTGTGTTCATGAGTCCCTGCTTGCTTACTTCCTCTCTTCGTTCACGTTGCATGTGGCAAAACCCGAAATACATAAACTCTAAGAGGGACGCATATCTTATTTTCTAAAATCAACTTAACTGTTGAAATGTCAGATACATAGATAGTGAAGATATCCAAACTCTGAGGATTAAAGACCATCTACCCTGGGAAAGAGTGGGTTTTGCCAAAATTTTATCTGCTGATGGTGATCATCAGCAGATAAAAGTAAGCTGATGTCATTTGTGCAGATGGTTGCTATGTTTTGATTTACTGAATTCAAAGCACTGTGTAGGAATAGGCTGTGGGCTGCCAGGGTGCTACATGTATTGTCAGGAACTGAATGAACTGATTGCATTCGTAGTAGGAGTGTATTGCTGTTCTGTTCCTCTACAAAATGGGTACAGAAAAAGCCAATAGATTCATCTGGAGCACCTCCTTACGGGCCAGGTAATTTTAGTATTTTGCAGATACATATTGGATTTTTAGTCCTGTTCTCCAAAGTCAGTAATTCAAAAAATTCGTATTTGTAATAGGTTTTTCTACTTCCTCTAAGACTGCCAATATGAAGATGAGGTGAATTCAGGGAGCATGACTTATCATTCAGAACCATAGTACACTTGTACTTTAGAGACTGTCTGTCTCCTTGACAAATACAAGTGGTAACTAAGCTAGAAGAGAGCAGTGAAGAAGATGAACACCTGAATGTCTTCACCTGGGGTGTGTTTTTCAGGAGAGCCTGGCCAGGCTGCAGAGAGCCTTTGCCCGGAAGTGGGAGTTCATTTTCATGCAAGCAGAAGCGCAAGCAAAGTGAGTCCTTGTGAGTCTTTTGGAAGATTTGTTCAAATTGTGGCCTTTTGTTCAGAAAGGCACTACCATTAACACTAAATGCTATCCATTGTTACCATGTTGACAGGGTGGACAAGAAGAGAGACAAGATTGAAAGGAAGATCCTTGACAGCCAAGAGAGAGCATTCTGGGACGTGCACAGGCCTGTGGTAAGCAAGCATCACACACCCGTCCTGAATCCATCTTCCCCATCCGTGGGAAGTGAGGGGTGCCCTGCTAAAGTTAGAGAAAGTTAGAGAAAGTGGGCCTGCAGTGACCCCAGGCGTGGCCCACAGAATCTTGGTGAATTCATTAAGAAAAGATTGCCACTTTTGGGTAGGATGAGTAGACCTCAGTAGTACCATATTTAATTTATAAAACCATACATTTTTCCACCATGACATCACTTGCTTACTCTCTTGGTATTTGAGGTGCCTGCTGCTTCTGTATACATTTGAAAGAAAAAAACACTGCAACAAAACAGTTTTTCCATGTTTTATTGCTTACATTTTTCTAGCTTTATAGTAAAGGTGTAAGTCAAAATGTTATTCCTGCCGTGATTTTTCTTTTTCTCTCTCTTTCTTTTCCTTCCTTCCTTTCTCCCTCCCTCCCTCTTTCCTTTATTCCTTCCTTCCTTCCTTCCTTTCTTTCTTTCTTTCTTTTTCTTTCTTTCTTTCTTTTTTCTTTCTTTCTTTCTCTTTCTTTCTTTCTCTTTCTTTCTTTCTCTCTCTCTTTCTCTCTCTCTCCTTTCTTTTCCTTCCTTCCTTCCTTCCTTCTTTCTTTCTCATTTTTTCTTTGTTGGGGGGTGGGGCAGTTGAGATGGGATCTAGCTCTGTGGCCCAGACTGGAGTGCAGTGGCATGATCTTGGCTCACTGCAACCTCTGCCTTCCAGGTTCAAGCCATCCTCCCACCTCAGCCTCCCAAGTAGCTGGGACAATAGGCATGTGCCACCACACCTGGATAATTTTTTACATTTTTGATAGAGATAGGGTTTCACCATGGTGCCCAGGCTGGTCTCAAACTCCTGAGCTCAAGCAATCTGACTGCGTCAGCGTCCCAAAGTTCTGGGATTATAGGCATGAGCCACGGTGTCCACCTACTTTGGTTGTTGACTTTCACTAACTAACATTACCTATGGCTGAAATTCAAATCAGCCCATACTTTTAATGACATAACATTGGATCTGCATGTAATAATTTAGCTGGCTTTCTTCCTTATGAATGTTAAACCATGTGCCTCAGAGTAACATTAATGAATATTCTTAATTAACATGAGAAAACTTTGTAGATGAAATTAAACAATGGTTATCAGCAACCATAAGACAACTTCATATACTTTCTATTTTGAATGCTATATTGTTTTCTTCTGTAGATTTATTTAAATGCAGACAAGGCACTAGCAAATAATATTTATATAAGTATAATTAGAATAAATAATAGGTTCAAAGCATGAAAGACAAATCAAGATTGATAAGGATACCGTACAATTTTCTCAAGTACCTTCAGAGTCAGACCAAAATAGAAAGTCTCCAAAGGTTTGTTTATATACTTACATATTTCAGCTTCAGATAGCAATGCAATTGTTAAATACCATGTTGAATTTTCTCTCTTTTGAATTCTGAAAAGATTAGAATTGAGAATTAACTTGCTTTGCTACTCAAAATTCAGTTTGAGTTTCATTGTTCATGGAGAAAAAGGATTATGAGGTTATGTGCATAGCTATTGAAAGGACATTAAGGAGGACTTTTATTTTGTTTGTTTGGTTTAAGTAACCTCCAGAAATGAGTCAATACATTATGTTCCTATGCTTATTCACGTTGTCCCCTGGACATCTGGGGGCACATCGCTAGCCTCGTTCAGCTTCCATGGCCTGGATCCTCCTGGCAACCCAAGAGGGCCACACCATGCCGACTCCCCTGCACCACCCCCATCTGCTTCATGCTCTGAGATGCTCATGCGCCCAGAGATGACAGCTGGTCCCACCTCAAACACCCCCCTACTCCATTGCCTAAGCTTTTTGTGTGCCTTTGTTAGAGCCAGGGCTTGCAGCAGCCTTAAGTTTCTGGGCTCAACCAATCCTCCCACCTCAGCTTCTTGAATAGCTGGGATGGCAGGTTCATACCACCACGCTGGGCTAATTTTTTATATTTTTGGTAGAGATGGGGTTTTGCCATTTGTCCAGTCTGCTCTTGAATTCCTGAACTCAAGTGATCTGCCCACTTCAGCCTTCCAATGTACTGCGTTACAGGCATGAACCAATGTGCACAGCTCTTTCTTTCTTTTCTTCTTTCTTCTTCTTTCTTCTTTCTTTTCTTCTTTCTTCTTCTTCTTTTTCTTCTTCTTCTTCTTCTTCTTCTTCTTCTTCTTCTTCTTCTTCTTCTTCTTCTTCTTCTTTTCTTCTTCTTCTTCTTTCCTTCTCCTTCTCCTTCGTCTTCATCTTCTTTTTTTTTTGGTGGTAGTTATTTTGAGATTAGGTCTTGCTCTGTTACCCCCTATCCACTGCAAGTCGGGCCCTAGTCTTTCATATCTCCAGCCAGCAAGGAGCAAATATGAGTGTTATCCAAGAGGCCTCCACCACATCCTCCACTAGGCTTCCAACTAGAAAGTCATCCCAAGGAGGGTTTGGAGGCAGAAACCACCCAGAAGCCATTGGCTCCATCTCCCTTGTTGAACTTGAAGATTTTTTTTTTTTTTTTGAGACGGAGTTTTGCTCTTGTTACCCAGGCTGGAGTGCAATGGCGCGATCTCAGCTCACCGCAACCTCCGCCTCCTGGGTTCAGGCAATTCTCCTGCCTCAGCCTCCTGAGTAGCTGGGATTACAGGCACGCGCCACCATGCCCAGCTGATTTTTTGTGGTTTTAGTAGAGACGGGGTTTCACCGTGTTGACCGGGATGGTCTCGATCTCTTGACCTCGTGATCCACCCGCCTCTGCCTCCCAAAGTGCTGGGATTACAGGCCTGAGCCACTGCGCCCAGCCTTGAAGATGTTTATAAGGCCTTTTTATCACCTGCAATGAAGAGGACATGCTCTACCTTGTCATTGCTTATTTTCTAGAGGAAAATAGAGCTTCAGGTTGTCATGTGCCTCTGAGAATGGCATTCACCTAAGCCAACCCTACCTTCAACCATTTCTTTTTCTTACATTATAACTTCTTGTATTACTTTAGAGGTAATACCTCTTGGCATTTTTAAAAATTTAAACAAGTGACTTCAGGTACTTGTGAAGTGCTGATACTTGTCCAAAGGCCATGTCTGCCATACAGCTGCTGGTGTTTATCTTGTTCTTAGCATTTTGAGTCCTTACTGTCAGTTAATTGACAAAGGTGATGATGACAGGGACATTAACAGAAAGGTTCTTCTAAGAGGGCACCTAATGCTGTTTCTTCAGCCAAACACATAAGCTGTATATCTCTGTTTGCTGGCTGTCGTGTTAACTAAGCAATGACAAGAACTTTCTAAGGTAACTTGGCCTCCTCAAGAAAAAGTGGTATAGGGAAAAACAGCAATACCGTGATAATTTCCAAGAAAGTCTATACTTTTACATTTGTACCTAGAAATGAATTCTGCAGCTATCGTAATCAATCCTAATATATTTAGACCCTAAATCCTGTATAGCAGAGTTAAAGTTGAATATGTATTTCTGTAGCTCAGTTTCTTCTTCATAGTTTGTCCTAACTGTGGCTGTAACGAATTACTCTTGGTACCCTGTAGTATTCATTGTAAAATTTAAGTGTCTGCTAGACAGGATCTGTTATCACCAAATTATTGCCACCTGAGCAATCTAGAATCCTTGACCATGTGTAGGAAAATACCAGAGAGTATCTCAAACTGTCCAGAGGCATAATCTGGTATGGCCTGGTGCCTACTATTGCATACCACCCCTCACAAGAAGATGTGCATACCTAAGAGACCATCCTATTGTGCACATTTCCAGTTTTTATTATGTCAGCCAATGACCAGTAGCCAAAGGGAATACTAAAACAGCCTATTTAATAATGAAATTGCTAATTTAAAAAGGACAAAAGTTCTGAACAGACAGTGCACCAAAGAACATACATACACAAAGGGCAAAAAGACGCTCAACATCACATGTCATTAGGGCGAAATTAAAGCAACAGTGAGATACCATTGCACACCTATTAGCATGACTAGAATCCAAAACACTGGCAACATCCAATGCTGGTGAGGATGTGGGGCATCAGGAACTCTCGTTCTCTGCTGGTGGAAATGCAAAATGGTACAGCTACTTTGAAAGACAATTTGAGTTTCCCATAAAACTAAATGAACCGTTACTTTATGATATAGCATTCACACTCCTTGGTATTTACCCAAATGAGTAGAAAAGTTCTGTCCACACAAAAACCTACAAATGTTTATGGTAACTTTATTCATAATTGCCAAAAAATTGGAAACAATCTTGATGTCCTTCAAAAGATAACTGTGGTATATTCATACAATGGAATATGTATTAGTCGGTTCTCATGCTGCTAAAAAAGACATAACCAAGACTGCGTAATTTATAAATAGTTTAATTGACTCACAGTTCAGCATGGTTGGAGAAGTCTTGGGAAACTTACAATCATGGCAAACATGTCCTTGTTCACATGGTGGTAGCAAGGAGAAATGCAGAGCAAAGTAGGGGAAGCCCCTTTAAAACCATCAGCTCTCATGATAACTCACTATCACGAGAAAAAAGTGGAGGTAACCACCCCCATAATTCAGTTACCTCCCACAACACGTGAGGATTATGGGAACTACAATTCAAGATGAGATTTGGGCAGGGACACAGCCAAACCATATCAGAATGTTTTTCAGTGATAGAAAGGGATGGGCTATCAAGCCACAAAAAGACATGGAGGAACCTTAAATGCATAGTACTAGATGAAAGACACCAGCCTTGGAAGGCTAGATATCACATGATTCCAACTCTATGACATTTTGGAAAAGGCAAAACGACAGAGACAGGAAAAAAGGGAGAGATTGAAAGGAAAGCAGGGAGTGATGAAGAGGGAGAGCACAGATTTTTAGGACAGTGAAAATATTTTATAAGATACCTGAATGGTGGATACATATTATTATACATTTGTCACAGTCTATAAAACACATATAGCACCAACAGTGAACCCCAATTTAAGCTCTGGATTTTAATTACTATTAATATATGAATATT